CGAGGAAATGACACAGCATTGTTTTCGTTGATTACAAAACCAGTGACTGACTAGTTCTACATATAAAACTGAAGAAAATAAGACCTTGGTTGTAGCTGTAGTAAAATTAATATGGTTGTTTTAAGTAATGTTATTTAATGTTAATAAATGGAACAATAGAAGTAGCTAACGATAATGGTAAAGAAAAAAGAGAGATCGCGTATGTAAGTGCGCATGCGCACACGTGAAAACATATCGTCATTACTTTACATAAGAATATGAAAGCAACACTTATTTACTGTTCATATATATTTTAATTAATGTTTCTGAATTTGTTTTTATTGAATTAATGTATGTGTGTGCAAAATTAACAATACAATTTATTAATAATACGTGGAATATTAGAGGAGACGAGACGGCTGCCGGCATTGTTTATGTTAAAGCTTACGAAACCAGTGACTGATTGGTTCTACATATAAAACTGAAGAAAATAAGACCCTGATTTTAGCTGTAGTAAAATTAATGTAAAAAAATTAATATGGTTGTTTGAAGTACCTGTAATGTTATTTAATGTTAATAAATGGAACAATATAAGTAGCTAACCATTAATGGTAAAAAAAAAAAGTGAGACTGCGCGTATGTAAGTGCGCACATGTGAAAACATATCGTCATTACTCTACATAAGAATATGAAAGCAACACTTATTTACTGCTCATATATATTGAAGGGTTAAATGTTGTACTCTGTATAGACAAGCAGAGAGAGAGCAGCCGAACTGCCGGATGTAAACAAACCTTAATTTCCCGCGGTTTTTTTTTTTTTTTTAGGGGATTAGCCCACCCGGGCATAGGTCACTGACCCACATTGGGGCCTGAGGGGCAAAAATTTAATACTCCTATAATAATAATAATAATTCAGGTAAAAAAAAAAAAAAGCTGCCTATCTACTTATTGGACAAACTAAAATCGTTCCGGACTACAGAATGCCGGACTAGAGAGGTACAGCCTGTATCATATTATATCATAAAATATAAAATTTTCAGCATAATATGTGTTTAAAAAGGTTCATTTTCATTTATAACTGTTTTTTTTATTATGGTACTTCCAATTACGTAATGGGTTTCAATAGGAAAATTTATTTTGAGTTATGGAATTCCACGTTACAGACAATTTTTCAAGAACACATCCCATCTGTAATGCGGGGAATGCCTGAAGAATTATTCATGCAATCACCCAAAAAATTTGCAAGGTAGTGTGTATAAATCTTTTTGAGAGACACCTTGCACAGTATACAATATTTATACCTTAACCATAGTTGTTAGTGTTCAATATTAAATTGGTTGCATTTTATTATGTATATCAGTATTGCATATAAAGTTCATTATATTTTTTACTAAGTACAGTAAAGTAGAAACCCAGTCATCTGGCACCTAAGGGGATTGAGAGGTGTTGGATAAAGACATTTTCCAGTTAGTTTAATCTCAGTCTTAAGATCCCCAATTAATCCTACAATGCACAGTGCTACAGCCTGACCTAGCAAATTCTTGTCTCATTAAAAATGGACTTCTTCAACATGTATTCCACTCTATATTTTTTCCGTGGCTTAGAAATAAAGAAAATATAATGTAAAACTATAAAATAATAAAAATGAAGAGCATGGGTGTGTATGCATGGGAAGTGAACGTGTGTGGAGGCGGTGGGCTATAACGATGTAGCCGACTTGCCAACTCAGCCGCCTCATTTATTGTTACTTGTAATGAACTACATTATAAAAATTTTGGAAAAATAACAACAATTCTCTAATGTGGCTTAGAAATAAAGAAAATCTAAAGTAAAACAATAAAATAAGAAAAATGAAGAACATGAGTGTGCATACAGTACTGTATGTGGGAAGTGAATGCATGTGGAAGTGGTAGACTACTGGGCTATAATTGGGTGACTGCCTTAACTGTATCATGTTGCCCAGAGGATAGTATGAGAGTGGAAGGTGCTATTTTTTACATAAAATACGTGCTATTGTATTTTATTGTTTATCATAGCAATAAATATGGCAGCTAATCCCCATTGCATGTGGTATTCAAACTTACGATTCTAACTGATTTTGGAGGAATTTTTATTATCATTATTTCATCTTGGTACCGTTTAGATGAATTTGCTGGTTGCATGGATTCCAGATAACTACGATTCTACTGTTTGTTTATGCAATATCTTGAAAACTTTATATATATAAACTTTATTCATCAGCTTTTCCACAATTCAATAAAATTAATGACAACACTAGCAGTTAGGAATATACTGTACTCAGTATAAAAAAATCTCAATACACTACCGGTAATATGGAACTAAATTTCATATTATGTGCTTCAAATACAGTAGAACATCAATTTAAAGCAAATCAATTTAAAATTATCGATTTAAAGCAACACCCACAATTAAGGACACCTTTTCAATTTAAAGCAAATCTTTTTTATTTTATGCGAGTCAAATCTGGCATGGATTACCCTGGGGGTTAGGTTACAAATATCAATTTCAAACTCAAAATGGGTCATAAGCGCGCCAAACGCTAGCCCGCCAAAGCTCCACCCCCGCCATCCCACCTCTCTGTCTTCAGGTGTCGCGTGGGTATTGTCGGAGTAACACCTGCCTCTCGTGTGTGTCAATTTAGTGCGCTTACACCTCTCATACTCGTTTATAATGCCCAAACACAAGCCAACCTCTGCCTCTAGTCCTCCAGCGAATATACAAAGCTCTGTGATGAACCTGGAAGAAAAAGTGGCCATTTTAGACTAAATAAAAGGCAGAATGTTGGTCGCTGCTGTGGCACGGAGGTACGGATGCAACGAATCAAGCGTGAGGTCTATTAAGATTCGGGAGAAGGAAATTCGTGAAACTGTGTCTAAAAGTGCCTCATTTACTGCTAAGGTGACAAGCCAGGTTAGAGATGTAACTCTAGTGAAGGTGGAGAAGGCATTAAACATATGGGTAGAGGATATGAACCTGAAACGTGTCTCCATCGACGGCAATATGCTCAGGGAGAAGACACTGAGTCTTTATGACCAGTTTAAATCTGAGGCTCCTCAGGGAGAAGCATTCAACAGCTCTGAGAAGAATTTTAAAGCCAGTGCAGGTTGGTTTAACAGTTTCAGGAAGCGTTAACCTGAAAAATATTAGAATCACTGGTGAATCAGCATCGGCGGACGAGGCAGCTGCAAGGGTGTTCCCAGATGAATTCAGAAAATTGATTGAGGAAAATGGATATCTTCCAGAGAAGGTCTTCAATGCTGACGAAACAAGTTTGTTTTGGAAGAAAATGCCAACCAGAACCTACATTTCCAAGTCTGAGAAGCAGGCCCCCGGGTTCAAGGCTGCAAAGGACCGCGTCATCCTCCTATTATGTGGCAACGCAGCAGGGCATATGATAAAGCCAGGCATGATTTATAGGTCTGCCAACCCTTGGGCTCTAAAGGGAAAAAATGAGAATCTCCTCCTCATCTACTGGCAGTCAAACAAGAAAGCCTGGGTGACAGAAATGCTTTTCCTTGAATGGTTCCACAAATGTTTTATCCCCGAGGTAAAGAGCTACCTAGAGAAGCTGGACCTGCCTTTCAAGGTGTTGCTGGTCGTTGACAACGCACCAGGCTACCCGGATGCCATAAAATTCGCACAAGATGACGTCGAGGTAGTGTTCCTTCCACCCAACACCACCTCCATCCTCCAGCCTCTCGACCAGGGCGTGATTCGGTGCTTTAAGGCAGCGTACAGAAGCCTCACCTTCGTCCACAATTGCAACGCCATGGAAGATGGCACTAACAACAGTGTTATGGCATGCTGGGAGGAATTCAGCATTGCCAATTGCATTACTTTTGTGAAGGAGGCCATGGATGCACTGAAACCAGAGACGGTTAATTTGTGTTAAGCACATCATGAAGGTGGCCAGGGCTGTAGGCGGTGATGGGTTTGAAGACATGGTTGAGCAGGATATTGAGGAGTTAATTGAAGGGCACAGGGAAACTCTGACTGATGCTAAGTTGGAGGAAATAGTGAGAGCGGACGAAGAAGACGACGGTGGCAACGATGATGATGAAGAACAAGAAGAACCAGCATGTTGGGATATACACAAGTTTAGTGAAGTGTTTCAGGTGGCCGAGCACTTGAAAAACTTAGTGTCTGAGTATGACTCCTCTATGGAGTGCAGCATCAACTTCTCACGAGGTCCTACAAACCTTATGGCAGTACAGTATAAGAACATGTTCCAGCAGCTTAAGAAACAACAACGACAGCTTCCCATCACCATGTTCTTTAAGAAAACCTCAGCATCAACATCGTCAGCAGATCAGCCAATGCCCTCAACGTCTCGCAGTGACCTTAAGCTGCCCACATCCTCCCCTGCATCGTTATCTGACCTTGATGATCCCCCCCACGGTGACGTGGGAAGGGGATGAATAATCTCAAAACAACAACACAGGTCTGTTTACATAAAGTTTTTCAACTAATATTTTTGGCTTGAAATGTATAGCTTTCTTCATTTATTTTTACTCGTTTACATGCACACACTGTCCTAAGGACAAAGCTGTACTGACATGTAATCAAATGTAATAAATAATTAAAATCATATTATGTCTAGCGCAAACTAGAGCATTTTTATATTCAAATTAATCACTATCTTACGAGAATCCCAGCAATGTGAGTTTTATTTTCCCAGGTTAGTTCAGTGACATTTTATAAGAGAAAAACTTAAAGTCACTCTAAAGGACAGATAAATAAAAACGCACTCGACCTTCGGCGCCAACTGTCACAATACATCACCTTACCTTCCCCTCCCTCATCTTCCCAGTTCTCGTGTATATGTACGTATGTATATTGATTTAAAGGTGATTTAGGGGATTTTTAAGTGTGTTTCTGACTTTACGCGAGGTCCCAGGAACGTAACCCTCGTGTAAGTTGCGAGTCTACTGCATACACAAACAAATAATATTATATTAAATAAACTAATACTCAATAAGGTAATTACATAATCCTCACCTTATCAATCTTGTAATCAGCTTGTACAACGAGCTTATGGTGATGATTCCGACGAATACACACAACTATAAATAATATGCCAAAGAGGATATAACCAATGTTTGAGAAGACATGATTAAAGTCACTCAAGGGGCCAAGGGGATGGGCACACCAGAAGTTGTAAAAACACAGATCTTGATTTCCAGTCTCATCCAGGACCTGAGGAGAAATATACAACTTTATATTATTTTCATTAGTTACCTGATGAAGTAAGTTACTTATTACTTCTCTTAAAAAGTTAGTCAAACTGATATACTAAATGTTACATAACTTTTTCTGATACTGTCACCAAGACTCTGTGTATGTGTATGTGTGTGTGTGTGTGTGTGTGATCTTTTTATTTAACTAAACTCTTCACGTGATAATAAGGATTCTTAAGACAGATATTACTTTTTTTCTTAGCATATTACAATTTTCTACTTGTGAATATAATGCAGCAAAACACTATAGGCAGTGAAATAATATGGATACTTTTCTGGGAACTGATGCAAGGGATAATACTCATTAAGGAATGCTGCCAAGTGTCAGTCGCTTTATAATTTCATCTGGTTTTTTAATTTTTACTCAATTTGAATCTTTGGTTTTCTTAACAGCAGCAACCCCTTATATAATAAAAATAAAAATAATAATAATAATAATAATAATAATAATAATAATAATAAAAAACTATCAAGAAAATACAAAAAATCCAATGCCAAAGCCTATAGCAGGCATGTTCATCAGCTATTCTAGACACATTTAGATTATAAAAATAGGAAGAATTGAGGATTGATCATGAAATCAAGTGAAGATTGAGCATTTCTTTTAACTCAGTAAATGTAGACATCATAACCTCAATCACCAGGATCCCAACTAATGCTAGGATTTAAAAGATTAATAAATTCTGTTATAACTGTATATTATTATCCACCTTCATCCCAGACTCCTGAAGGATACCATATCCATTTGTTAAGAAGGAATCCTAAAATGGATGAGGACTAGAGAGTTTTCTGAAGACATTCTAAGTTTCTTACATTCCATTTTTGCACATATTGGGGCAGAATAGGGAATCCCTAGCCTTTGTTTAAGGGTTAACACCTGACACCCTCCTGCTGTATGATGTATTTTCAGAAATTAAAATGGAAATATTTTTCATAATTTTATTTCATCACTAAGTACAGTAGTTATCCCTGATTACAATGCTATATAACGCAGTGTGCAAAATCTGCTATGCATGAGTGAACTTTGTGGTTTTAATTTTCTATTTTGTATCAGTGTCATTGTTAGCACATGGCACCTAACTCATCATATATAAGGTGTAAATAGTTTACTTACTGAATAGCAACACATTACAGGATGCCAATGAATATTAAAACTGTTCATGGAAAAGGCATCCACTCCAACAGAGAGAATCCAAGAGAAAGAGATTGGATCCAAAATCCACTTAGAAGGCACTGTTCTCCTCTTAGGCAGGGCACGAGTCTCGACATACAGGGAAATGAGAGCCTCATCTCAATTTGGGTGCATCTCTTTAAACCACCTTCAAAGACCATGGGCTTCCAAGGAACATAGGATGAAAAATATAACTTTGAATCCTACCATTAAAATTCATTCTCAAAATTTTCAAGTGATCAAACCATCACATCTCTGAACTTACTATTTAAAAGATCAATTCACTGTGGGGATAACAATCCACAGATTGTGAGTCCTTAGCTCCGCTATCGGGTCTGCAAGAAAATCAACTTTCCTACCATTTTCTTATACTGTCTGTGAGAAATATAACTCCAGGACCAGAGAACAATGATCTCTCAAGTGACTTGATTTTCTTCACCCCAAGCCCAATTGATATACTCATATTCTATTGAAGACCCAGCCTTTGAAAATTCTGAGTATGAGTAAAGCAGGACTTGACCCACTTCAGGCAGACTTTTTTTTTTTACGGGGATTAGCCCACCCAGGCACAGGTCACTGACACACATCCGGGCCTGGGGGGCGAAAATGTAATAATAATATAAACAATAATAACAATAATAATAATAATACAATAAAACCTCGATTAACTGACCCTCAATTAACCGATTTTCGGATTAACCGACTTTCGAATTAACTGCAGATCCCGGGCCCCTATTTTTTTTTTTTTTTTTTTACGGGGATTAGCCCAACCAGGCACAGGTCACTGACCCACATCGGGGACTGGGTGGGGGGCGATAATGATAATGATGATAATGATGATAATAATAATAATAATAATAATAATAATAATAATAATAATAATAATAATAATAATAATAATAATAAAGAACCATAAAGAAATGCAAAAATGAAAAAAAATCAAGAGTGAGAAACAATATATATGTATGTTGTGTTGTCAACAGTAAGAGAAATAATTGAGACCCTGCAATTGTGTGTAAGTGAGGCAGAAAGTCAGATCAGCAACCTGGGACTTGGTCACAATTTTCGTGATGCCATATGTTCTTTGACTTTTCCATTTTCTATTCATGGTTTCTGTGCTGGTTCATATTTATTTACTAAAGTGGTTAATGTTTTAAAGCAAATGCTATTGAAATATGAATGGCAAATGAACAAAAATGAATAGAGGGACTTAAATGAGGTAGGTTAGGGATAGGTACTCTGAAAGTGTATGTTTTATTTCCGTAGACTTTATTTACTATTAATCGACCTTTTGGATTATCCGTCGGCCCCTTCCCCCCATATGTGGGCGGTTAATCGAAGTTTTACTGTAATAATAATAATACAAAAATGAAAAAAAGATTAAAAGTGAGAAATATTATACAGCTCCTCCCCGACTTACGACCTGTAGGGGGCAGGGAAAAAACACTTTTATTTGAGTTGCAGGCTGCACTTTTCAGGCATCGTTTGTATGGCTGTAACAAACACCTGTGCAAAATTTCATGCCATTTCATGCATACTTACCCTGCCGCATCGCGAACGACTTTTGTCAACTTTTAGTGTATACCAAAAATTAGGTGTCATTTAATGTTTTCCAGGATAATGATAAATTTTACATGGGTGACATCGATTTAATTCACATGTTATTTTACAGGTACACCGTATAGAAAATCATTACAAGTTCATATTGAAATTCTTTTTTGTGCGGAACCTTGGCATCATTTTCCTAGACAATAATCTTTGCCTAATATATCCATCTCTCGATTCGTATCCCGTCACTTCAGTGCAAGCTTCAGTCATCACTTTTATGCCTCTCTCGACCGCCTGAGTGCTGTTTGGCCACTTGGGCACCACTAATGGTGTCTCAAGAATGTCATTAACCTGTAGATTTGACAGAGAAGCAATGTAAGGAGGCTCAGTCTTGAGTTCATTCCTCCAGTTAATCATGGAATGATAGTTTTTTGCTTGCCACTTTAGTTTCGGAGTCACCACCTTTCTCATGTTGACTACAGGAGGCACATCCTCATTCCCATCTCCATCTTTACCCTCCTCATCAGTATAGTTTAACAAATTCTCGTCAACAGCAGCATCAGAATCTTCCTCCTCCTCTTCAGATCTGCCAGTGCATTCTTCCTTTTGCTGATTCTCCTCTCTAATTTTTCTTATCATTGAGACAGCTTTTTCTCTAACAGTCATGTCCTCATCTGCACACATACCAAGAAGAAGTTGATCTGTGTGGGCGAAGTATGCATTTCTCTGGACAGCCTTCTTCACTATCGTCTCCTCCTCACTATTCAGGTGTTTCATATATAGCAGGGACTGGAATACGTTCCTTGAGCCGTGTGTTACGTAAGGGTGTATCTTGATGTAAAACCACATTGGAGCACTGAACTTTATTATTGTAATGACAATTCTTTTCAACTCATGGCTGGGTCTTGATGTTGCTACATACAGCCTGAGGATTCTACTCCATAAGGTGTTCCACCTTGACACACAGGGAGGACCTGGCTCAATAGCAGCCAAGTCATCTTCAACAACACCTGTGATAACTCCTTTACAAATCCTATACAGGTATTTCTGATCCCAGGACAGATCTTTCTCCACTTCATCATTAAACACAGGGAAATCAGGGAAACTGACTGGCTGGAAGGCGACAACTGGAAGCTCAGACAAAGACTCCTTGATCTGCTTTCCAATGGGACCACGCCAATGCTCAGGACCACTTGGTTTACCATCATAGTGATAAAAAACTGCGCGGAAAGGCAGCTCATTTCCGTGAAGCTGACATATGAAATAATGGAGCGGGTGACCAAGTAACATTTCAAGATGATGAATGACTCCATTTTCTGATCCTACATTTACATTGGTTCCATCACAACCAACACACACAATGGGCTGCTGGGTTAGATTTTTCTCCACCAGAAACTCGTGAATAGTTTTGGCAATCTGCTTTCCGTGTCCAGTCTTGGGAGTCACATGTGTGAGATATTCATTGCCAGGCTCAACCATGATGACATAATGATCTTTCACCATCATCCTCGAACTCCATTTCTCGGTCTTCTCATTCTTTATCATCACACGAGTGGCGGTCTTCTTACCATCAAAATAGAGTGACGTCAAATTATCTAAACTAGCCATCTCAATTTCTTGCCTCTTAAATCGGTATTTTTGTCTCGCATCCCGCAGCTTATGTGGTCCAATAACCTGACTCTTGTCATCCTTTGTGATAATGCCATAGTCAGTTAAGGTGGCAGTAGCAATGGCAGCTCCAGCATAATCACTAATCAAGTATCGGTCACAAGCGGCAGCCAGTGTAGGGAGTCTTGTCCGGTTCTGTGAACTGGTGTCTGTCAGAGCCCTGATAATCAATATAGACATAGCACCATACTCATCTGCAACAAGACAACTTAAATGAAATAAGAGATATGAAAAAAAAGTTGATAAACACTGAACAGAACATTGCACCGCCACAGCGGCTGTTTGGCTAGTACTGTAGGCAAATTTAAAAATTTCAGTAGAAAATGCGGCAGACTAAACCTCGACATATCAGCTTCAAATTTGGCATGGAGTCTTAGATATGTATAAGGAACAATGCCTGAAGAGTGCAGCTTTGAGCAAAATTTCACTGCTCCCTAACGACCTGCCTCAGTAGTACCCAAATTTTGTCAAATTACGTATTTTCGAGTCCCAACGTCAGTACACAGAGAAAATTTTCGTTTATAATTCACTTTAAAATGGCTGGCAAGCATAAAATTGAAATTTTTGTGGTGCTGAGAAGAAAAAGAGACACCCATTTTATTTTTTCAATGTATTACACTGTACAGTAATACCCCGATTTATGCGGTCAATTGAACCCACGGAGGTCCGCGTAAAACAAGAAACGCGTAAATGGAATAACAGAACATATGGGATTAATTGAAATAGAGACTGGGCGAGTCCCAAACTCCACTTTTTCCGACACAATACTTATGTTGTAGTAAAAATAACATCTTAATTTTATGATGGTATGCACACACAATTAATATTTAAGAGAAATACAGTCGCCAGGTTTATGTCTATTCAAATAATGAACTCAACTCCCCACCCCCTCTTCCCATGCTCGATGGCTCCTCCCTCTCTGAGAAATGTTTGGGAGAAAACACTAGATTTTAAGGTATAGTAATAAATAATACTCAGACTAAAATTAGGATAATACAATTGACATTGCTGGATTCCTTGCAAGACCAGGAATATTTTGAATATAAACTTCATATATTTTGCACAAAAGATAACCTATTTGCTCTGTGTAAACAAAATTCTTACATTAGATCTAAAATTTGTATGTCTAATGCAAAATCCATGATGTTTATATTCAATATGATCATCATATTGTAAGAATTCGAGCAATGTAAATTATATTCTGGCTGGGTAATTTGTATGAATTTTATGGGCTAAAACAAATATCTTCAGTAAATAAAAAAATATACTTCACCCAGACACTATTTGGCAATCAAAATACCCCACTTCCGGCTCCCCCCCTCCCTGCCAGAGAAATGTTTGGGTTAAAACAGTATATTTACATTTTTATTAATAAATAATACCTCAGACTAAAGTTAGGATAATATAATTGACATTGGTGGATTCCTTGCAAGACCAGGAATATTTTTAATATACACGTTAAATATTTTGCACAAAAGATAACATATTTGCTCAATGTAAACAAAATTCTTACATTAGATCTAAAATTTTTATGTCTAATGCAAAATCCATGATGTTTATATTCAAAATGATTATCATATTGTAAGAATTCCAGCAATGTAAATTATATTCTGGCCGGGTAATTTGTATGAATATTATAAGCTAAATAAAAAAATTATACTTCACCCGCGTATATGAGTAGATGCACCGCGTAAATTGGGAATTCCCGTTCTGGCGGGGTAGCTCGTAAATGTAGAAACACGTAAACGAGAACCGCGTAAAGCGGGGTATTACTGTATTTAAGCATTTTCAACTTACGACCTGGATTTGGGTCCCTAACTCCGTCGTAAGTCGGGGAGGAGCACTGTATGTATGTTGTGTTGTCAATAGTATGTGAAACAATTTAGACCCTATAATTGTGTGTAAATGAGGCAGAAAGTCAGATCAGCAACCTGAGACTTGGTCACAATTTTTGTGATGCCATATGGCAGCAGGGTCTACCATACACAACACATTATGCTTCCAATATCATCCCAGGAGGTAGTACCACCCTGTTTGGTAGCTGCCTAATACCTACTACCTGCTGAGGGTTGGCAACCACAGCCTTGCAATGTAAGTGTTACATTTATTTATTACTGTATTATTTACTTTAATATTACTTTAAAATACTGTACTGTATACGGTATACAGTATTCTTTTATTTCTAATGATATTATTTCTTGTTTTCCCCTCGTTTAGTGATCATTTTACTTGGTGATTGGGTTTTCAGGAATGCATCCCAATCACTAAACGGGCAATAGCTGTACCTGCACACTAAAATCTCCACAAGATCAGAGCCACAGCAATTGTTCTTGCTGTGCAGAGAGTGAGTGAGTCAGGATTGAGCACTTTGTAACCTTTGCGAGCATCTCATATGCTCACAGTAAAACTCTGAAGCCTTTTCCCTATTTATGATATATTCTTAACAAATGGATATCCTTCAGGATCTTAGAAGGATCTGATTCTAAAAGACACCAACATTTTAGATACCAATAAAATGTTTGGCCTTGTGTCCTGAGGTTTAAGAGCTCTAGACTTGTTAACTACATTGAGGGGAGAGTTCCTGACTTAAAATGTTAACATATTTTAGAAAAAATCAACTGATATGAACAGAATAATAAACTTTCAGTCTGATGTATCAACTGGCCAATTATTGCCATCCTATCATAAGATGAAAATGATACAAATCAATTCTCAAGAGAATTATATAAAGTACTGAAGCTGTTGTTCTGAAGATAATGGGCAGAGAACTCACCTTCTGGTATGTTATGACCAGCTGAATCACAGGAACAGCATAAAAAACTCCAACAGTTAGGAGACCCCATATGTACAACTGTGACTTCTTGGTCAAGACCCGCATGTCCTTTCGAGCCAAGTCACTTACATACAAGAAAGTCTTGGTCCTGTAACATGGCAAGGTGGTTCTAATGATAAACTTGTTCACAGTTCTAGTGTGGGCAAAGTTTGGAATTGGGCTTCTAACCATAATGTACTACATTAGTTTATGAATGGTTATCCAAGTTACTAAACCTCCCAGGCGACCTACTCCTTTTCCATCTATTCTCCAACTTTACGGAAAACTAGGAATTAGATGATGGTGCTTTTAAATTTGATTATACACCATCACAGGTTGAGAGACAAAGGAGAAGTTTCATAAAGCCCTTCCCAAGCTATGACTATCTACAGCTTCAAGCACAAAAAGCACACTTAGATTATGTTTCAGAGTTAGAAATTAGCTACACACATATATAGAAGGGAAAGATGACATCTTTCCCAAATCAATATCTTCCTAAAATGCCTAATGACAATTCTAAATATGAACAGAAAAAAAAATAAATAACAATACAAGGAGTGTGAAAGGATAGATTTTACAATTAAATTTACAACAGACCTGAAAATATCCTTATCACTCTCTGCATCAGTGAGCATGTCAATGTCATCTTCATCCAGTGAGGAATCTGAGGCGGTGTGAGGCAGTGGTGGGTAGTGCTCTGTAGTATTAACATTACAATGTATGAGATTCAACATTATTCCACAGAAACATATTACAACATCCAAATTTCAAAATGTACCGTATATCTCGGCCTATAAGGCGTCGGGGTGCATAAGACGCCCCCCCCCAAATTTCCATTTAAAAAGTAGCTTTTGAGCTCTAATCGCTGTATAAGACCAGTACCCCAAATGTGACACTTACCCACTGACTCAGTCGTCCTTTACCAACCATCCTTGGTTTTTTAAAATAAGGCCAATTCACTTCAAGTAATGTCATCAAATGTTACCGGCTGGTGTAGTGTAAACACTAGTGATGTCACTTAAGCGTCTGCTATTTACCGGTAACTGGAACTAATGTCGGTGTCGAGTAAAATTTTTCCATTTACTTGAAATGGATTTACCGATATATTTATTTATTTATTTATTTATAATATACTGTAACATATTAAACACACTGCAAGTATTTTCTTTAATTTATACGCTTGCTTCGCACGAGACGATCGGTGGTGGGAGTGTTCCCACGTCTCGGTGGTGGGACTGTGTTCCGACTGTTTATACAACAGCTACCACCGTATTCTAATTGTGGTGTTTCATTAGGATTTGAGTGAAAAAGATTACGTACTTAATATATATATATATATATATATATATATATATATATATATATATATATATATATATATATATATATATATATATATATATATATATATATATATATATATATATATATATATATATATATATATATATATATATATATATATATATATATATATATATATATATATATATATATATATATATATATATATATATATATATATATATATATATATATACAACAAAAATATTGAAAAGTTCACTTACTTTGAGATTATTGTTATGTAGAAAGGCTCCTGGATGATGATGATGATGATGATGGGATTTAGAATGAGGGGTGGAGAGAAGAGGAGAAGGCATTAGGGGTGGAAGAGAATCACCCCATGGCCATTCACCCATAAATTTTGACTCTCTTGATTATATTCAAGATTATTTTCTTTAAATCAACACTGCACTGCATTATATATTGTCAATATGTAAAATAAATTTCAAAATGACCAATAATTTGCTTGGAAACACAGAAAAAAGCATTTAGTTGAAGAGAGTCTCAAGCAAGATGTTACCTCCAGTGAAAACAGAGAGAGACTAACTCCTGTTTGCTGTGTTAACAGGCTGGATGCCGCGCATTAAACTAGTCACTTTACCTTCAATTATGTTCAATAATTGTTAAAATGACAAAAAAATTGAATATTAAACTTTTAAAATTATTGAATAGTATAAACTTCTTGATATTTACTAAAATAGTAAGGAATTTAAGCCCTAGAACCGATTAATGTGTTGGTGGACTGATACTAAAGCTGGTTGCCCGGTCAGTGCAAGCGAAAACATGTTGAGGTAGGTTCGTAAGAACTTCGTTAACTGAATTTTTTTTCGTTAACCGAATTGAAGATCCTTATGGAAGGCAGTTCGTTAATCGAAATTACGTTAACCGAGGTGTTCGTTAAACGAGGGGTCACTGTATATATATATATATATATATATATATATATGCAAGTAAATCACTGTACTCACCCTGAAGATGTGAATTACAGCGCTTGGGAACCGTGTTTTTCTTTTCCTTGTGGTTATCAATATATATATATATATATATATATATATATATATATATATATATATATATATATATATATATATATATATATATATATATATATATATATATATATATATATATATATATATATATATATATATATATATATATATATATATATATATATATATATATATATATATATATATATATATCTGAACCCGACTTACGACTACGTGGACTTCGACCGCCTCGATATAGATAAAAAAAAAAAAAAAAATTATTTTTAAATATTCTACGCATTTCGATACGAAACGTTTCCAGTTAATGTAGTCTCCATGTATAATTAGAAAATTATGGGGCCCCATGTGCATTCAGCTGACTACATTAAAGGTTAAGTGCTCAGTCACACTGTATTCATTCCTTATTATTTATTACTTTCACTGTACTGTATCCATTCATCATTATTCATTACTTTTTACTGTACTGTATTTCATTGTAGATTTTAATAAAAATTTTATGTCGGACTTGACCATGATGGACTTACGACCATGTCGGACTTACGACCTGGATTTGGGTCCCTAACCCGTAGTAAGTCAGGGTCTAGGTGTATATATATATATATATATATATATATATATATATATATAAATATATACATATTTTTATAAATATATATATATATATATATATATATATATATATATATATATATATATATATATATATATATATATATATATATATATATATATATATATATATATATATATATATATATATATATATATATATACAGTACTCCCTCTTTATCAACGGATTTTTATTTTGGCTTTATTTGAACTCTGCGGGCCTTGTTTGTACTTTCGCCGCTAGGCGGCACTAGTGGCGTGACTAGCGTCTACCCGCGGCCCGCCTTCCCTGAACACAGACATCAGCCAAGCCGCGTGGGCAACAGTCTTTGATTTTCAACTTTTGCTGGTGGTTCATCACATCAACTTATATCACCATGCCTCCCAAACGACTCTACCTGCCCACACCCTCAAGAAGATGCAGACCTTTGACTCCATCATACTATCTGACTGGTCAGGCTTTTAATAAGCCTCAATCATCACACTGGTATATACTGTACACTGTATTGTTTACTGTAAGGACCGATGTTCACTTCAATAAATGAAATCGTAAGTTTGCTAGTATTTTTGTCCACTTATTATATTATTATTTATACACTATTATTTAAGGTTATGTGTAAAGGAAACGCATTAATGCTTAAAGGTACATTTATTCAACATATGCTAATAATAGTTAGAAAAATTACGTAACCATCACGGTATCGACGGTTTCTTTATCGACGGCCGTCTACAGAACGTAACCCCTGTCGATAAAGAGGGAGTACTGTATATATTGTTACGAACCACGCCATCAATTGTCATGATCTACCTACCCAGCACTACGAACCACGCCATCTATTGTCATGATTTACCTACCCAGCACCACGAGCAACGCCATCTAGGGACGACACCCGAGTATGACTAGTCTTAGTTACCACTCCGGGGTTTCCCTTCTCCATATCCTGGTTGTTGCGTCACCTCCTCCAAGTCTTCCTCATCAGCTCCAATTCGATGAGAGTTCAGTTCACTCTGGGAAGTGACCACAGGATCACCTATCCTGGAAACCTAAGGCACAGTGACTACCTACCGTCTTCTACAATACTCAGCCTTGCTCGTCAGCCATCTCAGCTCCGCACTTAAGTATTTGTAATCTTATATTGCCTCCCCCACGTCAACTTGCTTCAAAATTGTTTATGTTGTATAAATATGTATATACTGTTAATGTTTAGGTTAAGTATGGTTAAAAGAATGGTCCATAGCTATGAATATTTTGATACAAGGAATTGTAATTGCTTGCATTATACACAACAAAAACTTCGCATCAATACATCTTTTACTTGCCCTTTATAGTCCAATTGTCTTTGTTTTTTATCTTGTTGTTTATACCATTCAGATCTGGGTAAGACTTTTAACTATATTCTAAATCCCACTCGTAACATTGTGACTGCTGGCAGAATCTGCGACTAAAAGTGCCATATTCCTTCCCCCTTGTTTACTCAGTGTTAATTAAGCTATACATTTTCTGTTCTGAATTTGCTTTCGGTGGTTTTAAGTTTCCTTCATACTGTGTGTACATATGTATTTTCCACCATTACCAGTAAAAGGAAATGACAAACTGATAGAATATTAGAGTTCCAAGTGTCATAAAACACACTAAATGACCAAACTGTGCTTGATGTAGATAGCATAAGTCTTGCTCAGTGTAAAGGAAAATCCGGATCTGTTTAATGCATTACCTTGGCTCCATAGTCACTAGTTTAGGGTGATGATATCTTGGGATGCCCGCTCTCCCCAGGGACTTCCGCAATTATAAAGCCTCAATTATTGTTCTTCTCATTACCACATCTCATTAAGATTGACAATCAAGTAACTTTCAAGGGTTGTTAATCGAGGATCTTTATATTATTGCCGTATCGCCCCTCCTGTTTTATAAAGGGGTTGTTAATCGGATCTTTATATAAATGCCGTATCACGCCCTTCCTGTTTCAAGTATCTAAGGGTTGTTAATCGGATCTTTATATAAATCACCCGTATCGCCTTCCTGTTTCAAGTATCTCAAGTTTGTTAATCCGGATCTATTTATATTTAATGCCCGTATCGCCCTTCCTGTTTACTCAAGGGTTGTTAATCCGGGATCATAACAAATAATGACTGTCCTTCTTCCTCTTTTAAATCTCTTATTCTTATCTATTTATCTTATCAGAGAACAATATTCGCAAAGTGTAATTTCCTAGGTATAACTTGGGTAGTTTCCTAGGACTTTCACAGTTATCACTGCAAATTATTGATCAATTGCTAGGGTAATCCACTTATCTTATCTTTGACAAATAATTAATTTATCTGGAAGGTTTTCTTAACATTGGCCACCTCAGGATTTACATTCAACTTGGTAGTCCTGGAGGAGTGGAAGCAACATACCATTTCATCTTGAAGCATGTGGAGGAAACGTGGGAGACTGTTTAGGAGCGTCTCTTGGCTGAGCTGGGTGATCGTCTACGCCTTGCTGAATGGAATCTCACTGTGGGGCATTTGTTTTCATGTTAGGTCCTCCTCTGATGATAACAGCATGGGCGTGAGTGGTAGGTGAAAGGTCCCACCCCCCCGATGCAACCGTTTTGTTGTTGCACTGTAAAAAAAGCTCCACAGGCCATCCCGATCCAGACATAAACACCCAAAGTGTCAGCGAACTTCACAAAAGTAGTTCCCTGGATCCCAAATTCAAACCAATAGCAACCACCAGCCAGAAGGCCCC